ATGGGCAGAGGAAAACGGATTCCGACTGAACCCACAAAAAAGCACGTGTGTCTTGTTCTCTCGAAAGAGAGGCATGCACTCAACACCCGACATTGAACTGAACTGTCAACGTCTCTCTGTTAATGTGGAGCATAAATTATTAGGCTTAATCTTGGACAACAAGTTGACCTTCGTACCGGACAACAAGTTGACCTTCGTGCCGCACATCAAGTATTTAAAAACAAAATGTTTAAAAGCCATGAATGTTCTAAAAGTGTTGTCACGTACTACGTGGGGTAGTGACAGGCAATGTCTCATGAACCTGTATAGAAGCCTCATTCGCACCCATTTGAATTATGGGGCCGTTGTTTATCAGTCTGCGACTCAAAGTGCTTTAAAGATGCTGGACCCCGTACACCATTTTGGCATCCGCCATTCTATGGTTGCTTTTCGCACCAGCCCCGTAGAAAGCCTTCACGTTGAGTCAAATGAGTGGTCGCTTCGTCTGCAGAGAACTTACATGTCCTTTGTATATTTCCTTAAGGTGAAAGCAGACAAGAAGACCCCGCATACTCTACTATTAATGATTTGTCGAGCTCCACACTGTTTCAAAACAGGCCTTCGATGAGGTAGCCCTTCTCAAGGTTCACCTGACGGGTCTAGCTGACGAAACTGGAGTGTCACTTGAACAGAGTTTAATGACTACTGTAGCATACCCGCCACCGTGGCAGTGGCAGACTATAGACTGCGATGTGTCTTTCCTAGAAGTTACAAAACATGCGCCTATTTCCCATATCCGAACATACTTCCTGGAACTTCAACACAAATACACACGTCCTGAGTTCTTTACAGATGCCTCCAAGTGTAACTCCTCTGTGTCCTACGCGGCTGTCGGCCCATCCTTTTCGGATGCTGGCCCTCTACATCCAGGCACAAGTATCTTCACAGCGGAAGCTTACGCGATACTTGTGGCGGCTAAACACATCGAACAATTACAAATACAAAAAGCAGTAAATCTTACGGACTCCCTCAGTGTGGTAACGGCTCTGCAAGCCCTTAAAAAAACAAAAAAAACTGTCCTCGTCGCACTTTACTCCATTTTATGCACACTCTACACACTCAAACAACATGTTGTAGTGTGCTGGGTGCCAGGGCACCGTGAGATCCAAGGCAACGTGATGGCGGATCAGCTTGCTGCATCCGTGCACGCAAGCACTGCCACTACACCCTTATCAATTCCGGCCCTTGATCTGAAGCCGTCTCTCAAACGAATGCTCAGGGACTACTGGCAGAGCAATTGGGATAGACACACACAAAACAAACTACACATTAATAAGCCACACCTTAGCCATTGGCCACCAGTATCGAAATCACGTCATACAGAGGTAATACTAACGAGGCTCAGAATAGGACACACATACACGACACATACATATATTTTGTCCGGTGGCGATCCACCATTGTGTGACAGATGTGTTGAAGCACTAACAGTTCTTCACATTTTAATCCAGTGCAAACAGTTAGAAACTCTAAGACAACAAGACTTTCCATTACCCTACCGACAACATATACCTTTACACCCTGCAATGTTCATCGGTAGGGAACCACTTTTTAGTCATAAATCATTGTTAGCGTCTTTAAAAGAAATTCGTAGTTTTCATATAATATACCCGGGCATTCCATAGCATGACCTCTTCAAAGAGGTTTTCGCTGCGGTGGCTACACTCAACAAAGCACTTGCCTCACGGCCCTTGGACGCAAGGGTATGAACGAGTGAGGCACTTGTGCTAATGCCATACATGTCCACCATCGTTTTCTGTTATCACCAACTTTTGTCATCTATCCACACCACACACACCTTTCACGGCATGGTGATGATTTTATTACTTGTACGTTTTTACCCGCCTTATCACGAGGAATTTTATGGCCCTTATACAGCCGCTCATCACAATCATTGTCCATATCCTTAGTAATATGAACTGGTGCTCTTTGGCCGTGAAATGGCCCTTGTGCCACAACACATCAAATATCTGAATATAAATATCTTGGCCAGGTGATAACTTCGGACCTTAGGTGGAATAATCACATAGCTTACATGAAAAATAAAGCCATGAAAAAGCTTGGATTTCTGAGGAGAACCTTGTCTAAATGCACGAGTAACATAAAATTATTGGCATACAAGACATACATTAGGCCACTGTTAGAATACGCTGCTCCTGTCTGGGGTCCCTACAACCAGTCAACCACAAGTGAAATCGAGAGCATACAACGAAAATCAGTCAGATTCATTTTCAATTCCTATCATCGTCACACATCCGTAAGTGCTCTACTACAAGACGCGAACCTTTAGCCTTTGAAGACATGATGCCATCGAGGAAGACTCAAAATATTATACCTAATTCACCACAAACACGTTAAAATAGACAAGGACTTGTGCATCAAACTGTGTGGCCGGCGCCCTACTCGCTCATCTCATTCGCTCAAATTAACTGAATATTCCTGCTGAACCAACATCTTTAAACAGTCCTTTTTTCCTCGTGCCATCCATGAATGGATTGCATTGCCTGAACATGTACTGCAGAGCCCAACCATATCCTATTTTGTCCAAGCTCTTACTAATCTATGACACAAGGTGTTTCAACACAAACACATTCTTTTTTGTTGCTGAGCTGAGCGCTCAGTAATCAAGTGCTGTTTTGCGCATTCTGATCACGTTTTTCTTGTTTTTCATACCTCTGTCGTTACTTTTTTTTATAGTTACGGTTTGTTTCTTTTGTTATGTTGTTTGCTATCCATGTTATTTGCTTTCCGGCATTTTCACCTGCAATACTTTGCGTTTTGTATACTGTTTCCAGTACTTCACACGCTGTAAATACTGATCAAGACAAAACTCTTAACCTTTTTTTTACTTTTGCCCACAATGCGTATTCACAGTTCGTTACTTTTGTTTATTTTAGCTTTTTGTACAACCCACTCCTGCTTATGGCTTGCTTTACAGGCCAGCAGAAATAAGTAAATAAAACAAATAGGCAAAAGTTATAATAATATGGCAGCTCCGTCACATTATACGAAAACACATACCAGTATTCTTACGTGTCCTCGCCTTTACTTCGATGGAGTAATCGCCGATAAGGCAGAAACTAACTAGCGAGCTGAAATCGGCCCAAACAGCTTGCATTTTGCGTTAACGCCGTAATCCATCGAGACTGTTCTGTCTCTCTTCGGCAACAGCTTCTATTTTAACGTTAACTGTTGCTGAGTGTACGAACAGCTCGACCTAGAAATAGTTAAAGCGTCACTACAGAAGTGGAAAAAAAATCGGCAGATCTCACGTACAGTGGTATTCGATGATACGCGAAACACGAATGAGGAAGCTTTATATGTCACTTTAAAATCAGCAGAACGTTACGAGGGGGACGTAAATTATGCCTTACATGTTTTTCATGTTATAATCCTCAACCTTGGACGTGTCATTTACCTTCGTTGTCTATTCACGTCATGTGATACAAAATTTTGTATGTGGAGCTAGCGAAACGGCCATGAGCACACTATGAGCGTACCATGCACTCCTGTTTTACATGAAACACGTCATGATTATCATTATTGGACATGTCATTCACCTTCGTCGTCTATTCACGTCATGTGATACCAATATATGTGGAGGTAGCAAAACGAGCGTCAGCGCGCCTTGAGCGTAGCATGTATTCATGTTTTACATGAGACGGATATCATGATAATCATGTTTAGACGTGTCATTTACCTTCGTCGTCCATTCACGTCACGTATTTCCAAATTTGGTACATCTGGAGATAGCAAAACGACTGTGAGCACGCTGTGAGCATAGCATTTAGTCATGTTTTACATGACACGCATGTCATAATTGTCATGTTTTGATGTGTCATTTACCGTCGGCGTTTGTTCGCATCAAGTAATGCCAAATTTGGTGTATGTGAAGCCACCGGAACGACCGCGAACGCACCATGAGCGTGGCGTGTAGTCATGACTTGCATGGCATGCATGTCATAATTTCCATGTTAGGGTTTGTCGCTTATGCTCGCCATGCCTTCATGTCATACCATAGCAGTTTTGCAATATGTCATGCGAACGAAACCACCGAAAGAGCAGCAAGACCATAAAGTGTAAATCATGACATTCGTGACATATATGTGATGATTTTCATGTTATGGCTAGTCAGTTATGCTCGTAATACATTCATGTTATGCCATACCAATTTTGGTATTGATACCTTTACTGAAACGGCGAGGAGGGCTAAAAGTCGAAGTCGGCTACGTGTATAGATACACTAAATGTTGCCGAAGTTCGCTAAAAGTGCTTCGCATTTAAAAGAAGGATACAAAAGAGCGCTGGCTTGCAACATTCAAAAAGAGGCGTGATCTTTCTTCGGAGATTATTATACTCTCGCCGGAGAGTCTTGAGACCCAAAAAAAATTAACATGTCTATTTAAGCGGTTATATACAAGGCAACTTAGGAGTCATGGAAAAGATTTACGCATATTCTTTGCGTTGAGTAGTCAGAGCTCCTTCCGCCAAAAAAAAATATTCACAGCATATCCATGGAGTTAATGATGATGAGTGGAACAAAGCGTCTGTCTGTCTGTCTGTCTGTCTGTCTGTCTGTCTGTCTGTCTGTCTGTCTGTCTGTCTGTCTGTCTGTCTGTCTGTCTGTCTGTCTGTCTGTCTGTCTGTCTGTCTGTCTGTCTGTCTGTCTGTGACGGATGGACGGACGCTTCACCCCACTTATCGTCATTCACTCTGTAGATATGCTCTGAATTTCAATACGAAAACCACCAGCGCCATCTAGTGATAATATTTCCAATAACATGCTCGTATACACACAACACCATCTAGTGAGCGATTCTCAAAACTGACTAGAAGTGGCTACTACGACAACATACTAGTACTACGAGGTAACGACTCACACCCTAATGAGCTTCACCTCTGAAATGCAAGAATTTACGCCCGCACTCACCAATCATTTCCGCAAATGGGCACACTCACTTGATGCGAAGTACGCCATTATTTATTTCCTCTATTGTCTTTACTGCCTCTTTCTATTCCCCTCTCCCTTCCTTTTTTTAGCGGCCAAAGAGAATGCTGCCGATGGGTTTTCGGAACGATTCTCTATTCGTAATGGTGTTTATAGCGAACTTGAATGGCTGGAACTTGAGCTTGAATATGTCGAGGATGCCCCTGCCGAGGTGAGACAGTGCGCCGGACACTCCTTGGACGATGCTCCGCAAGAAACCGGCCGAGTTGCGGAACAGACTGTGCAGCGACGTGCGATATCCTATCAGCAGGCCCCGAAGCTGCACGTGACACGATCGCTTGGTACGGATCTCGCCGGACAGGGTGCGCTTCAAGATCGTCCGGAAGCGCGCCTCCGTCTGGTCATTTCTGGGAAGGAGAAACACAGTTGCGCGTAATCACTACCGATCACTTGAGAATTTTCCCATGCAGCTTAAGCGCATCGAACATGCGACCAAGCAGTAAATCTCTTTGTCATATTTCACTATGTTTTGTATCGGATGCAAAAAATTGACTATCATTTTTTTCAAAGCTACATTCATTTTTACTAAGTGAAATAATCAAAATCCTAGGCATGAGGCTCATCACGTACAGTCGCGCTCAATAGGAGTCACAACACGCTGACTAAGTATAAAGTGATACCGATCATCAACAATGACACCGACAAAAGTTAAATGAGATGTGAAAGTACTGACAATCGGGAGAGTTTCATTCGCCAGTTTGTTTTTATGTGGGTGCCATTTGTGTTGATGTCATTTTGAGTACAGACAGCGCGTTGCAACTCGTATCGAGCATGACTGTACCGAGGATATCGGGTGGACGGAAAAATGGATGAATGGATAGATCGATCGATGTGCATATGGATGGATGGATAGACGTACGGACAGACAGATCCATTCGCTGCTTAATTTTCTTAGGAAGAACGATAGGTCAGGCGTCTGCCTCTTTTTACGAGAGGCGTTGCCGCGCTGTGTAAACTGCGCAGGAGGGTATAGGGTTTTATCACTCACGTGAAGTGGAGTCCCTTTGGACGACATGCAGGCGAGAAATTTTAGCGCAGTGTATTAGCGCGGAAGAGTTAATGAGCCTGTTTTGCTTTACTTCCGGTGTTGGGGCCGGCGGCGGTGTCTCGTTCTGAGCGAAAAAAAAAGCACCTCGTCGTCAGTGAGTAGGTAGGTGCTGATAAAGGCACGAGCCAGAGGACTTCCGCACTGTTTAGGCAAGCTAGCGATAGAAAAGGCGATGGGAACCCGGCCCGATTACGCTATCACCTTCTAATTTCATTGCCACCGTCTCCCAGGTAAAGAAGCGCACGGTGTGGCCGCAACAGTTTTGGACGCGCTGTGATGACGTGCCAAGCTTTTCCCGCCGTTTCCGAGAAATGGAATTACCAAGCCTCACGGACGTCCCCATGGAAACGCGTACTGGATGCATCCCTAGATATCCACAACAACACGTCGGCAAAAAAGTTGGAGCTGTCCTCCTCAGTGGATCAGTGGCAAGGTTGCTCGGCTGCTGAACCGAAGAATGTGTGTTCGATCTCGGCCATGGCGGTCACATTTGAATAGAGGGAAAATGGTAGAGGCCAATGTATTATGCGACGTCAGTGCACGTTAAAAGAACACCCGATGGGCGAAATTTCCGGAGCTACAGCATCTCCACTACAGCGTTTCTCATAATAATATTGTTACGTAAAGAATGACACGAGGCGTGTCTATTTAGAATCTATATTGTAACTGATGCGTATAGCATCGAACAAGATGGAGGACAGTATATGCACAACCGACAGACCACTTCCTCGTTGTCGTCTTCTGACCACTGATATGTCAGCTACGTAGCAATATGGTGGTTTTGGAACGTGAAACCTCACATATTATAAATAATATTGAAAGGTATAGCTCACTTAGACAAACTCAACAAATATATTCTGCACTGAAAGTTCACTCCGACTCGGACTCACTAAAACTTCCCTCAAGTGGAATCATTTGGACTAATATTTACCAAGCGTTTTCTCAACTGGACTCATTAGGAATCAATCTCATCAACATATTACTCAGCCAGAATCACTCAGACTCACCACTGGACTTGAGTCTGAGTCAGCCTGAGTGAGCTGACTAATGAGTCCGTGAACGAAAAACTGCCTGTTTTCTATCTTTGTGCCAGTGCTCTGTAGTGTCAATGATTCATATAATCGGTGCTCGATGATACGGCTTTTGATATTGTACCTTATTATTAGTTATTCGTACCGCAGTACTCCAGTAAGGAAGCATTTACGAGAAATGCCCAACTCACACCAAATATTTTCATGAACTTTCCGTGAAAATGTTTGAGAGGAAAAGTCATGGCAGCCCTTCCAATTCACATCACTGACCTGTAATTATTAAGGGGGTACATCAGCGTGAGTGTTCGAGGTATACGTAAACGAACTTGAATATAAACGTAAGCCGTTATCAAACTGATAACTATGCTGAAGATGAGTAGACAGGATCGTATGTCAGCGATAAAAGATGGAACTCACTCCGACTCGCCCACGAAATATAGTTGACGCGTCGGGCTCATTCAAACTCGGACTGACCATTACTTTCTTCAACCGGACTCAGTCCGGCTCAGGTTCACCAAACATTTTTTCAACCGTTTGTCAGTTGTAACTGTTACTTCACGTTTAGTGTCACTGCGCTAAAGGATGCGCTGAGCAGGGAATAACTGCAGGAGCACACGCAGAAAAAAACATTAGATTAGAAATGTTTTTTTTTTGAAATTTTTCATGAATTGGCTAAAGTAAATGAAAATTCTTACTTTCTTCCTCCCCATTAAATCTCTCACATAAGTGACCAAGCTTTAAAAATAAGCAAAAGTTATTGGTGAACTAACGTCTACCAGCACTCGTTTTTTTCACACACAATCTATCCCAGTAAATTTATTTCTACGGAAGACTGCTGACTGTAGCACTGTCACATCATTCAGAGACATGCTGTAGCACTTGTAGCTACATTGTTTCTATTTTTTGTGTGAATATTGTTTTTATGGTTACCTCTTTTATTTGCGAGACTATGTTACCCTGTCCTCCGTCACTCAGCAGATGTGATGCTACCTAATCGTCACTAGCAACTTTAATTGCCTCTTTGCATTCCCTCTAAGACTTTCCTTACTTCTTCTGTCATTACTGGTAGGATGCCATCTGTGTTACTGCTAGTCCTTACAATATGGTCCTGGTTTTCACGGCTACTGTACATATCTCTGTAAAACTCCTCCGCTACTTTAACTATCTTAACCATACTGCTAGTTCCTTTGCCTTCCTTGTCCCTTAGTGCGTGCATCCGGTTTTCGCCTATCCTAAGTTTCCTCTTCACCACTTTGACGCTTCCTCCATTTTTTAGAGCATGTTCAACTCTCTTCATATTACGCCTTCTTACATCGAATACCTTAGGCTTATTAATCAACTTCAAAAGTTCTCCCAGTTCTATTTTATCTGTTATGTTTGGCCACCCTGTTTACGAAGTGTCTCCTGACAGGGAGGGTACCACAATCTTGTAAGAGCGCTAACACCGTCTTGATTCACAAGAAAGTGGACGACAAGGACTTGAATAATTACAGTCCGATCAGCTTGCTCTCCATCGTATACAATCTTGGTAATTGCTGCAGAACTAAGATTATATAACAATTCAATCAACCAAAGGAACAAGCAGAATTTCGAACAGGCTACTCTACAATCGACCACCTTCATATTATCAATCAGGTGATAGAGAAATGCTCAGCATACACCTAACAACGTTGCATAGCGTTCGTAGTTTACGAGAAGGCATTTTATTCAGTAGAGATATCAGCAGTCATGCCGACACGGTGGAGTCAAGGTGTCGAAGAAGCATATATAAACATCCTGGAATAATCCTGCAGCGGATTAGCGTAGCAGTTGATCCACTGTAGTGCTCCAAAAAGTGCATACTGCTCCAAAAAGGAAGCGGCAGAATAGTAAAGAAGGGTGTAAGACTAGGGGATACGATCTCCCGAATGCTATTTACCGCGAGCTTACATGAGGTTTTCAGGGGCCTAAAATGGAAACAGTTAGGGATAAGAGTTATTTGAGAGTACCTTAGTAACCTGCGCTTCTCCGATGACATTGCATTGCTGAGTAACTCAGAGAACGAGTTGCAACTCATGATTACGGAGCTATACAAGGAGAGCACAAAATCGGGTCTTAAAGTAATCTCTAGAAAACGAAAGTAATGTACAACAGCCTCGGATGAGAGCAGCGCTTCGAGATAGGTAGTAGTGCACTTGAAGTTGTAAGATACAACGTATACTGAGGACATGTAATAACCGCGGAGCCAAACCACGAGATTGAAGTAAGAATGGCATGCAGCGCATTTAGCAAGCATTATCAAATCAGGACAGGTAGACTACCACTATTCCTCAAGAGGAATGTATATAACAGCTGCATCTTGCCGGTACTTAGCTATGGAACAGAAACCTGGAGACTTACAAAGAGGGTTCAGCCTAAATTGAGGACGACGCAGCTAACGATGGAAAGAAAAAACGGTTGGTGTAACATTAAGAGACAAGAAGAGAGCAGAGTGGATTAGGGAACAAACCGGGTTCAAAGATATCATAGCTGAAATCTAGAAGAGGAAATGGACATGGCTCGGGCATGTAGCGCGTAGGCAGACTAACCGCTGGTCATTAGGGGAACTAACTGGATTTCAAGAGAAGGCAAGTGGGTTAGGGGGAGACAGAAGGTTAGGTGGGAAGATGAGATTAAGAAGTTTGCGGGAATAAATTGGCAGCAGCAAGCACAGGACTGAGTTGACAAGTGGGACATGGGATACCCATTCCCTACTTTTTTTGTTCTTAGGGGGCCCGAAATTTTGGGAAATGGTGCACTTTCCCATCCCCCCTCCGTGGCGCTGCCTCTTAATAAAATGCATACCTAGTTTTCACTTGAGTGAGGATTTTGTCGATTCCGGCAATCCTCCTCTTACACAGGATTATTTCGTTTCGGGAGCGGCTCCTTTCCATCTCCTTGTTCACCAACTCCCGCATGATGGTCAGGTTCTTCTCGAACTTACGGCCTAGGTCAATCACGATCTCGATCTGGCGGATCACTTGACGCTGCTCTGCTAACATCTGCGGAGTGCGTACAGCAACACCAGTATCAACGAAAGTCCCTATCAGGCTGACAGTCATGTTGACGATGAGCAGACATTACCATAGGTCTGCGATGGAAAGTAGAACTCACTCAAAAATATATTTGGCGCTTAGGGCTCACTCGGCTTCGTACTGACCATTACTTTCTTCAACCGGAGCCATTCGGGCTCAGGCTACTTGACCGCGGCTGGTGAGTGGTATAGTTTCCCGTTTTTATTTGTATATGGGAACGCCTTGACACTTCGAACGTGCATTGACCATGGGAGTAATGTTCTGTAACAGTTACGCTGCAAGACACGGCAAACATTCTGCTCGATAATATATCGGCAAAAGGATAAAATTTGTTATGCCTTATTATTTTTTAAATAATTACTACAAAACAATTTTCACGTATTTATGGGTAGTAATAGATAACTGCGCATTGAATATTAATAATTTAGGATAGTCTTTATGTGTATGTATAAGAAGCCTATTCATTTTGTCGTTCATTTCGCTACTTTACAGAGCATCTACCCCTAGTTCAGAATGCTGAATTTGTACTTAATATTTGTCATGGGGATTTAGCGGTTATGACGCCTAGAGCCCCGATATGATTTTCAGAGACGCTGGGGGGGACGGCTCCAGAAATTTCGACCACCTGGGGTTCTTTGACACGCGCCGAAATTAAAGTTTTGGGGCCTCCAGCATTTCGCCCCTATACGTCAGCCGCGCCAGGGAAATGAACCCGCGACCTTCTGCTTCGCAGTGAAGCATCATAACCACCAGACCCCCGAGGCGGGTGGTTGGCATCGAGGCCAGGTTATGTGACACACACCGCCTGACCACTACGACCCGACAGCCCCTGAAGTCTTCCTTGCGGCATTCTTCCCGCTGTTGGCGATAGTTCCTCTTCAGCTTCGGACGCTTCATCTCCTTCGTCTTGATCTCCTTGCGCCCCAAATTCATTTTGGTCGTCTGCTTCTGTCAACTCCTCCGCAGCTTCAAGTGGCTCCTCGCCTCCTGCAAATTCAGACGAAATAGAGACGTTTGCTTGAAACTGCGCTTTGAATGATGATATGAGGAACGCCACCAGATGCTAGCTGGGGCGAATTTCGCATGCTACGTGAAGCTAGCTAAAAGAAAAAGCTACCGTTTCACCCTCGAAGCCATGGCTATATATAAGGGTGGTGCTGGCTAACTATCGGGTGTACATACACAGTAAAGTGGACCTTCTAAAGTGGACGGGGGAAAAGCAGCTGCTGTAGCTTAACTAGTAAGCATTGAACGCGCGATCCAATGGTTACAAGTTTGGTTTCTGCTGGCTAGAAGCTGTTTTTCTTCCATTTTTTTTCTTCAGATTAATATCAGAATTGTGGCACTAAATATGCCAGGCCCGCACGGAAGCCGCAGCACAATCCCAGCGAAAGCTAGAAGAGCGACCTTTCAGAGCCCTTTTTTTTTCATTTTTCGTATGTTTGGATGCCACATAGCGAGCCCAAAAAAAGTAAGCGAATTCTTGATTATAAAATGTACTATTCCTGCAACTCCATGTATGCGCAGCCTTTTTAGGGTGTGCGAAATGTCGCTTGTTAGAGAGCGGTGTTCCGATCAGCTTCATTTCGTGTGGTTGTTGCTTGTCATCTTCATTTTTCTGCGCTATCATAACTCCCTTTGGTAAGTTTACCCGCACAGATTTTTCTCTTTTTTCCCTGGTCAGCTACAGTTTGTTGCGGTCTTTCTCGTCATAGCTGCGACCTTACAACGTGAGGTCCTGTTCATGACTTAGTCTTATGTCTGTGCTTGCACAAATGTAACGCTAAAATACTACCCATTATTCATTTCGTTTATTTGACATAACAACCACCTTGAAGGTTTCTTTTTCAAATGTGAAGCATTTTTTAGCGCACTGCAGGCACTTTGGGCGTATCTATCTATCTATCTATCTATCTATCTATCTATCTATCTATCTATCTATCTATCTATCTATCTATCTATCTATCTATCTATCTATCTATCTATCTGTCTGTCTGTCTGTCTGTCTGTCTATCTATCTATCTATCTATCTATCTATCTATCTATCTATCTATCTATCTATCTATCTATCTATCTATCTATCTATCTATCTATCTATCTATCTATCTATCTATCTATCTATCTATCTATCTATCTATCTGTCTGTCTGTCTGTCTGTCTGTCTGTCTGTCTGTCTGTCTGCCTGTCTGTCTGTCTGTCTGTCTGTCTGTGTAGCCTACCACGTCAAGGGGCTCTCGCTATCACCTCTTCAACTTTGGGTACACAAAAATTATTATGACAGTGTAGGAGGAACTACATACAAGAACAGAAACTTGAACGGGTCGGTTGGCGTTCATCTTTGATGACTTCTTTGCGCGAACACGTACACGGACACAAGGAAAAGAGGCAAACAACACGGGCGCAAACTCACAACTGGTTCCTGGATCCACCGATGGTTATCCTGGATCCACCGATGGGGTGGGGCTGTGGGCTACGTGAAGATATAAGTACAGTTCGTTGTTCAAAATAAACCAGTTGTGAGTTTGCGACCGTGTTGTTTGCCTCTTTTCCTTGTGTCCGTGTACGTGTTTGCGCAAAGAAGTCATGAATGAGTACCAACTCGCCCAACTTTCAGTACTGTTGTTCATCTTTGGTTGATGCAGTGCACACGGGACATGAGCGAGAAAGAGGAGCACAAAACAGGTGCTGTTTTGCGCCTGTTTTGTGCAGCGCACTTTTGCGCTCCTCTTTCTTCATCCTCGTTCCATTCTCGCAGCTTCAACTGAAATCAGTGTAACGTTATTTGACGAACATGACTCACTGGTTATGGCATGAGTAACGTGGAAATCCCGTCGCGTACGTCGTCCACCTTTCGAGCAGACATGCGTGGCACATACTCGTATACCACGGGTTGTGGTATGCGGCTATGTGCCCCAGGTGATTGACAGTTCACATTGCCACATGTCCTCCTTCGTATGCTGCATGGTGGATGGTACGTGTGGATACCGACTTCCGCAATCCACGGCAGAATGTCTGAGGACATTTTACATTGTATACGAGTCTTCTGTTGGGCTTGAACGAGAGAGCGCGAAGAACCTTTAGATCTTTATTTTAGAACAAGCTTAGCCACTATAGTTTATTGATATTGCTGCGCGTATGTGCCAGTGGTGGCGACAACGAAGCAGCGTGAGTGTTCTTGGCCAAGGGCAAAAGACGAAGAAGTCTTTGCAGTCTTCTTCCTGTGATCGATAAAGCCACAGGGAGGTTTACTCTGCCATGTGTGCGTACATAATGGCAACAAAAAGATTACCTTGTTAGTCTATTGTTAATATTTTTTCCGGCTGCAAGACTACCTGAATGCCTGAATCATAACTAACTCACTTGATGATCCTGCCGCCCGGTTCTTTACCGATACCCCTTTGTGGGCAAGTGCCAGCAAAGCTAAAGGCTCATCATCATCATCATCATCATCATCGATAAAGCGTATTTGTTTGAGGCGCTTTGTGTGCTCGTCGATCCCGCGTCATCACACTGGTGGAGGTACTGGGTAGTCTTCATGCTTGGCACCCCTTTGTGGACCCGACATTCGAGCCCGGAATCGCTACCACCCGACGACACACCAGTCCACCATTTCAGTCGCCGTCTGCGAGGCCTGGCTCCCGAGCTCAATCTCTTACCAGAAACTACCAGCAATCGCTTGCCTCCTTCAGCCACCATGGCTACTGCAAATCCATCACACATGACACTTCAGAGTCCCATGATTCCTGACTGCTTTCATGGTGAGACCTATGAAGACGCCCAAGACTGGCTAGACCAGTTCGAACGCTGTGCGAAGTACAATCAGTGGGCCAGCCCAGTAGACAAGCTCGCGAATGTGTACTTCTACCTGAAAGACAACGCCCAGACGTGGTACATCAACAGGGAAAGAATGGCTACGTGGGACGACTTCCGCAACCAGCTGATTGACACCTTTACTAGTATCGACAGAAAGGAGAATGCGCAACGTCTCTTGGGAACTCGAATTCAAAAACCAAATGAGAGCGTTGCTATGTTCGCCGAAGACATGACCCGTCTTTTCAGCAGGGCAGATCCCGAGATGCCGGAAGACAGAAAGCTGCGGTATCTAAAGCGAGGCGAGAAGGAGCAACTGTTTGCTGGGCTTGTGAGAAATCCACCAACCACAGTAGCTGAGTTCCCAAAAGAAGCCACAGCTATTGAACGGGCCCTACAGCAACGGTACCGCCAGCAGAACCCGGTCAACTTTCAAGCGAGTAGTCCCGTTACGACTGCGGTGAGCCTCTGCGACAACGACAGGACTCTGCGGTAAGTCATCCGGGAGATTTTGAGGGAGGAGCTTCAGCAGCTCGGTTTAATTCCAGCAAATTAACCGACGCCGGCATTGTCTTTTGTCGCTGATGTTGTCCAAGATGAGGTCCGTCAGGCACTCTCTTCGTCCAGCTATGATTATGTGCGACGACATTTCACTTATGCTGATGCAGTCCGACGCCACGTCGTCGTACCTTCGGCACAGCGGACTCCAATGACTGGACCACCACCAACCCTGCAAACACAGCCGCTCTCAGCGCCGAAGACTTTCCCAACCTCACCGATTTCGCCGACAAGACGAATGCCGTTCAGCTAAAATGTGAAGCCCACAACGTGGTTCAATAGTGAGTCCCCGCTTACCTACCAGCGTCGGAAAGCCAATTTGTGGCGTACCGCTGACCGTCGTCCGGTATGCTTTCATTGTGGCGAAGCTGGGCACGTTTACAGAGTTTGACGTTACCGCGACGCTCAGTACTCAATATTTCCTCGCTACCATGATTACGCTACGTATGACGATCGACGCACGTACAACTACACGCCTATGAACACACCGCCGTAGAATTCAATGAGGCCAGGGTCACGTTCTCCATCTCCTGCGCGGGGCACTTCACCTAATCGTCGCAGTTTTGCCGACGTCACCAGGGGCAGGTCCCCCAGCCCGCGACGGGGAAACTAGACGCAGTGGCCTCGGTGGGTGGGGTTGCCAATAATCGATCTTCCGAACAGCCCCCATCGCAGACATATGACAGCTCAAAGCCACCGATGCCGAAGACGACGAATGGAACAACTGCCGATGTAACTGACGTTAGCAACGCTGACCTTGTTGTTCACATTGACGGCCACCAAGTGATGGCTCTTGTGGACACCAGCTCCCACTTTTCTATAATAAGCCTACAGCTAGCCGACAGACTAAGGAAGGTGATGATGCCATGGCATGGACCCAATATAAAAACTGCAGGAGGTCAGTTGATGACACCAGTTGGAAAGTGCACGGCGCGACTCTTCATCGCTGGTTCCACCTTTGTCGCCACCTTCGTCATTCTTCACGAGTGCTGTAAACAGCTCATATTGGGAATGGATTTCTTGCGCGAATACGGGGCTGTGATTGACATCTGTGACAGAAGCGTATAACGTTTTATATAAGCTCGGACACTGCTAAAAATGAGGAACACCAGCCACCTTGCTTCCGTATTGCCGATGACGACGTCATACTACAACCACAAAGTTGTTCCCTCGTATCCGTGCACTGTGACATCTTACAAAATGGTACTGGCATCGCTGAACACAGCAAGGAGCTCGCATTCACTAGCAACATTTCTGTTACCAGGGAACTGGCTAACTTCCCTGTCCTTTCTCTTTCATTCCTCCTCTGTTGCCAGGGCTGTCGTCACTGTTATTGACGGATGCGCTGAACTCTTATTGACAAATTTCAGCAGAGAACTCCGACACATAGTTAAAGGCACGGCTATTGCCTATTTCGACAAACTCTGTCAAACAGAAGATTGTCGTTTAGTAAAGGAAGCAGCAGCGTCTACTATCACTACACCGACCCCTGTCGGCGTTGGTCCAACGTTATCTCCCATTGAGCGAGACCGCCTTCTCACGCGCATCAACAAGTACCGCGGCTGCTTCTCATCCACATCATGAGTTGGTCAAACGGCACTGACGAAACACCGCATCATCACGGATTCCTACGCCAGACCCATCCGGTAAAATCCTTATCGAGTCGCCCCAAAGGATCGTGAGGCAATTCAAAAACAGGTGAAAACGTTACTAGAATATGGTGTTATTTGGCCATGTAACTGTCCTTGGGCATCACCTGTAGTACTCGTCAAAAAGAAGGACGGCAGCTTGAGTTTCTGCGTCGACGACCGGAAGCTCAGTCAGATCCAAAAGACGGACTTCTACCCTCTGCAGCGTACTGATGATTCATTGGTAGGCTACCAAACGCATGCTACTTTTCGTCCATGGATTTGAAAAGGGGCTACTGGCGAATTGAAGTGGATGAGAGAGATCGTAAGAAGACCACCTTTGTTACCCCCGATAAACTATGAATTTCAGGTACTTCTTTTCGGTTTGTGTTCGGCTGCAGCCACATTCCAGCGGCTCATGGACACGGTTCTGTTGAGACTTAAGTGGCAAACCTGCTTGGTGTACCTCGACGACGGGATTGTCTTTTCGGCGACTTTCGAGGAGCACTTACGAAGGCTCGAAGCAGGTTTTGAAGCAATACGCTTGGCCGGTCTTACTCTAAAACCTGAAAAGCGCCACTTTTGCTTCCACGAACTTCGATTCCTCTGTCACGTCGTGAGCAGCCAAGGGATCCGACCCAACCCGAATAAAATTGCCGCCCTGGCGAACTTCCTGACGCCATCAGACAAAAATCAGTGCGACGTTTTTGGGGCTCTGCGCCTATATTACCGTGGTTTATTGCTAATTTATTGCGCATCGCATGGACATTGAGACAGCTTACTCGGGAAGATATCCCCTTCAGTTGGAGCGAAGACCAAAAGCAGGCGTTTCACGACCTTCGTCAGCGCATGCAAACATCTCCCGTGCTGGCCCACTTCGACGAAGACGCGCCAACAATACTTCAAACAGACGCAAGTTATGTGGGTTTTGGAGCAGTGCTCGTACAGTCGAAGGACAACAACGAAAATGTGATTGCCTACTCCAGCAGGACGCTGTCCCGAGCGGAAGCTAAATACACTATGACGGAGAAAGAATGTCTTGCAATAGTATGGGCAGTCCTGAAGTTTCGTCCTTATTTGCACGGCCACCCATTCACCGTTATCAGCGATCACCACTCTCTCGGTTGCTTAGGCCACTTGAAAGATCCGTGTGGCCATCTTGCACGATGGAGTTTTCGGCTCCAAGAATTTGACTTCACTGTTGCCTACAAGTTGGGAAAACGATACACCGATGCCGACTGTCTTTCTCGGTCTCCTGTTGAGATGGCATCGGAAAACGACGACGAAGACACGGCCTTTCTGGGAATTGTGGACACTGCCGCCTTTTCTCAACAGCAGCGTAACGATGCTGAACTGCTGCTACCACTTATAAATTACCTACAAGGGTGAACGAATAGCGTGCCGAAGTTATTTGCGAGAGGGCTGCCGTCGTACTGCTTGAGAAATGACGTTCTTTAAGAAGAACTTTCCACCCACCGGTAGAAGCTACTTGCTTGTCGTTCCTTCTTCGCTTTGCTGTGAGGTGCTGCAAGCCTGCCACGACGAACCTACTGCTGGTCACTTGGGTTACGAAAGAACATTGGCGAGGATAAGGCAGAACTATTACTGGCCAAGACTTGCCGAAGTTGTCAAAACTTACGTGCAGTCATGTCTAGACTGCCAGCGTCGCAAGTCACCATCCATCAAACCAGCTGGCCTGCTTCAGCCTGCCCGAGTGCCGGCGACACCGTTCGCACAAATTGGCATGGATTTTTTGGGCCCTTTTCCAAAGTCTGCCACTGGAAACAGGTGGATAATCGTCGCCACAGATTACCTGACCCGATACGCAGAGACAGGCGCTCTGCCACGGGCAATGGCAGCTGAAGCAGCGCAATTTTTCATCGAAGCCGTCGTTTTAAGGCACGGTGCTCCCACAATAGTCCACTCAGAGACCACTCAGAAGACACCCTTCAGTCTCCTTTACGGACGCGAGGTTACGAGAACGTTAGACGCAATGCTTTCTCATGAAAGTGATGGCAATGAGACAGACACCGAAGAATTGACACAGCCCCACCGCGGTGGTCTAGTGGCTAAGGTACTCGGCTGCTGACCCGCAGGGCGCGGGTTCGAATCCCGGCTGCGGCGGCTGCATTTCTGATGGACGCGGAAATGTTGTAGGCCCATGTACTCAGATTTGGGTGCACGTTAAAGAACCCCAGGTGGTCTAAATTTCCGGAGCCCTCCACTACGGCGTCTCTCATAATCATATAGTGGTTTTGGGACGTTAAACCCCACCAATCAATCAATCATCAGAGTTGACACAGCTGGCGGAAGAAGCCAGACAACTCGCCAGGTTGCGAATCGCGAAACAACAAGACGACGATGCCAAACATTACAACCTCCGGCACAGACCCGTCATATACAACGTGGACGACAAAGTATGGGTCCGGGCACCTATCCGTCAGCGTGGGCTCTCCAAAAAGCTGTTGCGCAGACACTTCGGACCCTACAAGGTTCTGTCACGCATCAGTGACGTCAACTGCGAGGTTGTTTCGCACGGCGTGCAGTGTTCGAAGCGCCGCAGACATTCACCAGAAATTGTCCACGTGCTTCGGATGAAGCCTTACTTTCAGTGACTAACTGTGCAGTTTTGGTTTCGCCTTGCAACTCGAATGTTCAACATCGCGGCGATGTTTTTTTTAGGGGGAATAATGCCGCGCG